TGTTTTACACTTTCAGGCAATAAGACACACATCGCGGAGCGATAAGTTTTTCTTGCCCAAGTGTAACAAGGGCAAACATGTTTTGCCCGCCAATCAAACAACATGCGTTGCGTGCGCCTCTCCTTTTGTAGGAATTTTGAAACCTGTGGTTTTTGCACCTCTCAACCACAACTCTTGATTGCTTGAGCTGATGTCCTGAAGTGCATTTCCCAACATGTTTCATCCGCGTAACTGTACGCTGAAGCCGTGGGCTTGTCAATGCAAAGCGAGATCTGACAAGAGGGGGCACGGGAAAACTCTGGCCTCCGTCGCGGGAGGTGCTCCGACGGGTGGCTTGTGGCCAGTACCGTGCTTCCTCTGAAGACCCGCCCACCCGCCCTGGGGGATATGATCGTGTTGAGGGGGGATATGATCGTGTTGAGGTGCGGTCTGAAGACCTCGACAAACTTCTCGGTCTCCCTCCTTTGTGCACTGGGTGCATTCGATGCTTGCGCTGGGCGCCTTGCATCCGGGTCAGCTGGGCTGTCCCGTTGTCAAACTCTGGTGAGGACGTCGTTGCCGCCTTTGGGAAAAGACAGGGTCAGTGCGAGTGATTGCACCCTTAGTCCGAGGATACTGTGGCAGATATTCTTGGAATTTAATTTATTCGAGTGTCGAATTGTCCGGTGTTTAACTCCGGCATCAATATATATTCATTCACATTCCTGTGTGAATATATTTGCTTTTTCGATAATATGTCCCTCACACCCCTGTGAGGTGTCATTTGAATTTCTGTTTGATTGTTTTACACTTTCAGGCAATAAGAACACGCTAGAGAACGCCATGCGATTCGACCTTAAGACTTCGGAGGTTTCCGCTGGGCCCTCCATTTTGTCATCTCGAGCCTCCAGATTCGCACGCGTGCTTGATTGCAGGATATTGCTGATTGCTGCTGGCTGCTACGCTGCTACGGCCGCTGCTGCTGGCACACTGCTGTTGGTGCCACTGCTGTTGCTGCTGGGCTCGGCGCTGTTGCTGCTTGGGTGGTGCTGCCGGCTGCTGCTGCTGGGGCTGCCTGCTGCTGGGGCTGCCTGCTGCTGGGGCTGCCTGCTGCAGGGCTGCTGCTGCTGCTGCTGCTGCTAGGGGCTTGCATCACGCTGTTGCGGCAAAAGCTGCGGCAGCGGTTTACGACAGGCTCCGTGGCGATTGGCCACGCCGGCGGTGGCGACGAAGACCGACGACGACGATGCCGACCGACGACGACGGGGCGACGACGGCGGCAGACTCGGACGGCGACGGCATGATGCGACGGCGATGACGACGACGACGACGACGCGGCGACGACGACGGCGATGCGGGGACCGGGACGACGCTTCGACGACGACACGGCGAGGGCTGCCGCTACCATGCATGCCGGACTGTTGGGGCGCAGTGGGGGGGTCCTGGATTCCAGCGACGGTGCGATGCTATGCAGGCGGAGCACGCGGGGCAGCGGAGTGAGCACGGCGACGATGCGACGATGACGATGTGACGACGGCGACGACGACGACGCGGCGACGATGGCGCGACGACGGCACGGCGGGCGAGGATAGCGGTGAGGATGAGGATAGCGGGTAGAATCCGGTCGGATAGAAACGAGGATGGTTCCAGCGCTCCACTCTATGATAGCTACAGGCCTCAGTTCGAGACATAACATAGGTCAGAATTCTGTACCCCGCGTTTGACACGGACACATTGATGCAATACACATTGTTTTCATACACTGGTACGTGGGCAAGCTTTTGTTCAGGTCGACACGGTCTTTTTTTGCCACGGAATGCAAGTCTTTGTTTGCTGCGCAGTGACAATCAGTTCAACAGACAGTTCCTGACAAGTTCCCCGTTGTTGCATCATGGCGCCACGCCGCGAAGACAAGAAACAGCAGGCAAGTTTGCACACCCGTTTGATCAAGTGAGCTGTCATGTACACATGCCGCAATCCCGTTGCAGATAAACTGCATCTGTCGCTGTGCTTTGAAGGAAAAGAAGACATGGTTACAGGAGTATTACGACAATCCTGGTTACGGTGCCGTGCTGGCATTAGCAAATTTTCTGCTGAGTTGATGTTGCTGACCGTCGCATTTCTTTGCTGGTGCCAACCTGGGTGAGTTCCAACAGTCAGTCTCTGACTCATATCCATACACGTGTTGTTCATCCAATCTTGCCTGGCAGCCCTGTAGGACCCACTGTAGGATGCATCTTGATCCTGTAGGGTGGAATACTAGCTTGTCATCGGTGCCAGTTCCGATGGGCTGGTGACCTGACATAAGTTTTGTGAACACAAAGTTTGGATAAAGTAGCGGTTCTCTCTTGACAACGATGTTGGATGATCTCGGTTGCTGAAAGTCTAAAGCTTGTCTGGTCATTGCGTGGTTTTGCTGTTTGGGCATCCAGTGAATGGTGAGTGCTCGACCAAAGCGAAGGCCCGCCTGGTGGGACGGTCTCAAACCTGACCGACCAAGAAATGTGCGACCACGTCGAAATGCTTGTCGAACATCTTGAAGATGATGATCTGAAAAAGCGGATAAAAGCGGCCGAGGCCATGTCTGCGTACATTGCCGATGATACATATTTGCCAGAGAAGATGCCGGTCCACCCGGCCCAGGTGTTGGCAACCTTGTTTCACAAAGCCATCCCTGATAGATTAGCCTGCATCAGTGCAGCCCGGTGCCTAAGTATCATGGGGAGAAAGGCCGCGCCCTACGCTTCTGGAGCACTAACGAAAGTCTTACAGAACAGTGGCAGCGACTTGAGATACGAAGCCCTGGTGGCTTTAGGATACTTGGGGCCAGGGGCAGCTCCGGAGGCTGCGGCGGCTGTGGCAGGACGGGCCATGGACGACGAGGATGCTCGGTTACGTCGCCAGGCGCTACATACTTTGACCATTTTTGGGCCAGATGCTGCTCATGTTTCGTCTGCAGCCATCGCGAAGGCGTGCCACGATGAGGATACAGACGTGCAAGTCGCAGCGATCAAGTGCATGACTGCAATGGGTTCGGACATTGATTGCAGTGTTGCTGGTCCCTCGCTAGTCAAAGTGTTGAACTCAGGATCACAAGAGATGAGGCGCTTTGCAATGGAAACAGTTGCCGTGATTGGTTCTGGACTCGCGAGCTACGTGAGTAAGCCAATTGCGGAACACTTGCGTCCGCTTCCAGGGAGCGATACGGAACTTCGCTTGCTGGCGGTCATCGCTTTGGAAGCATTGGGTCCAGAAGTAGTCTATGAGCAGGAAGTGCTGATTGCCAGAGCTGTGAAAGATCCAGAAATCGAGGTTGGGGAACGGGCATTTCTGACGCTGCGAGACGCAGGATGCGTAAAAGGCATGATGGGTTCTATGATGCTGGAGGAGCGCATTTTCTCGCCAGAGGTTCTTGCAGCCTCGAAATTGGCTGTTGAAGACAGCGATTCTGGTTCGTCGGCATCATCTGATTCGGATTCAAGTGCCGAACTGGAAAGCTTCGGAAGTGAACAAGAAGAAGGTGAGGAGGAGGATCCTGCTGAAGATAGCCTCGGGCTGGCTGAAGCTTCACGCGAATCACCCGCCGCCAAGTTCTTTTCAGCATCGGTTAGTTTGCTGTGCTTCAGTTTTGGCAGCGTGAGTGTTCAGAGATCGAGGCATGTGAAGATGTTTTGTGCTTGAGTTGTGGGGCAGAGAGAAAGGACATCGACGCCGAGGAGGCAGAGCGCCTCCGCAAGAGCCTTATGCAGTGGTCCTGAGACCGGCCACACCTCGTCCACGGCAGCGGCCTCCAACGCGAAGTCGCATTGTCTCACAGTTTCACACCGGCATTTGATTTCAGAATGCCGCAGGCCGCAGGAACACGTTTGTTTCGCTTGTGAGCAAGTGCCCTATTGCTTGTGTTGTGCGAGAGACAATCGGTTGCATCAGTGTCAAGGCAGGCCTGACATATGAACCACCCTCAGCTTTGGCCGAGCAGCGGCAATGACTGCAAATGTCCATGCATCAGCGTATCAGGCATACTCGTACTGACTATTATTCCAACTAGCCTGGTTGCAAGTTCGACTGGTCTTGCTGCTTTCGATGTAGGTTCTCCACACCCATGGGACACACTTGCATTTCATGGGTGCTTCCAGTCTCCATCGTGCTGGTCGTCGGAGACTGAGCTGTCTCTTCGACTTTAAGTTGCTGTAGACAATGGACAGGTGGCAGTGTCAGCATGAGTGCTAGCTGTTAGCTGAAGCCACATCCCTTCCACCGAAGCGCCGCAATTTTCCATTGCCGGAAGTTTCATAGATGCCGCTACGATTACGTAGTTTCATCCTCTCTCCAAGGCGGCGTCGGCACAGCAGGATTGCACATACCTGATCTGTCCAAGCGGACATACTCCGAAGCTTCGAGTGACTCCTCCACTATGTCCGAGCCTCGGTCATGGAAGTCCTGAAGTCTCTAAGCTCTTGTGGGTTCGCATCTCTGTTGCCCACGGCGTGACGCGGCTCTGCATGAAAAACTCAGGATGCCAGAGTAGTGAGCAAGTCGCGTATTTGAGGCATTGCTAAATCCTTCATGTAACATGCAGAGTAGCATCGAAGAGCCTAAGGCAAAGGGCAGTGCAACGTTGCCGTCGACTTGTACACGTGCTGCGACCAGCTTTGCAGCGACTTTAGCTGCCAGGGTGCGTCTGAGCTCAAGGAAAATTCTTCGGAGATCGCAGCCTGGCGGAAAAGAAAGTACACTTTTCTGAATATGCCATTGCTAAAGCTGAGCATGTTAAATTCGCGGGGTACAGGAGGAACGTGGGGGAACGCGGTCTCTTTGTCTTGCTTCCATGTCTTTTGCTGAAGGTCTGCCGCGGACAATGCGACAAGTTGAGGGATAGGTCGCGGTGTTGCGACATGCTTCCAGCCCAAGATGAGCGCACCGCTTGCGCTTTTTCAGTGAATGCTTGAAACCGCACGGCTCCCCTCCGATGCCATGAGCCAGGCCTGCAGCTTCTCCGGGCTTCGGTGGCCGGCAAGGCTCGCACGAGCAGGGGCTGTACGCGATGTAAGAAGTCGACTTCGGAAAGAAGTGGGTAGGTCCTATGTAGAATGCCAGGCAAGCCAAGTGGATCGCCTGGTGTCCATGTCAGTCGACACGCATCGGACCCTTCCTGGTGGTACGGGGGCGCGAGCCTTGGGCTTGGGTTGCTGGGTCTGGTCTGGTCTGGATCGGTGTTGCACATGTTTGCTGTTTGCAGGCGTTGCATTTCGCTGCACTTCACGGACACACTCAAAACATGAGGCCTGCTCACGATGAGCTTTTGCATGGCTGTGTTCTGTGTGTTCTGTGGTGCCAGGCGATTGATCGATGGCCGAGGCGACGTGAATGCACTGGACGCACTCGGCTGGGCTCCACTGCACCTGGCTGCTGGCGCAGGCCAGGCCCCGGCGGCCCCGGCTCCACGCCCGTTGAGCCTTCCTTAAGCGCTTCTCTGCAGGTCGGGTCGGTGCCATGAACTTGCTCATCGACTCTCGGGCCGGCCCGTCAGTTCATCCTGTGCCTGACTCTAGTTCCGGTATAAACTGCGGGATGCAGTTTCGGCACTTGGCCAGGCCATTCCCGATTTACGTTCCGGAGACGGCGGCCCCCTAGCAATAGCGAGTGTCACATCATCTCTGCCAGTGCATCACGCTCGAGACATCAAAGCTAAACAGGATGTTTCTCGATGATTGCCAAGGTTTGGAACCTTTGGATGTTGCCCGCCTTGCTGCGCAGCGGCTTGCCCTGTCTCATGCCACGTTGGGCCATGAAGCAAAGATTAGCAAAACACATCAAGCCACTGAGTTGCCACGAAACAAACCGTTCAACCTCTGACCCTCGAAAGGTCGCCGCGGGTTGGCCAGGGTCAGAAGGATCTCGCCGTCCTGTTGGCTCGTCGGGTTCGAGTCGGGATCTTGATCCATTTCAGAGCTCATGTGACACTGCTGTACTAGTTGATGTAGGTGTGAAGAGCTTTGCCGAAGAATCTCACAGACGACTGCAACGACATGCCACTACTCTCCTTTAACGTGCGACAGCAGTACTCTGTTCTGAGGCATGGAGAGATGAGTTGAACCTCACTCAAAGTTCGTGAGATGATGCATCATAGTGAGTAGCTAGGATTACGCGCCGTGTCGTGGCCGAAGCAGGGTCGTGACTTGCTCAGTATCTCTGGATTTCTCGGGGTACAGGGAGCCACCCGACCTTTGATCCAGGGAGGTTGAGAATCTCTCGACTGCAGTGCGCTGCCCAGTACACTTCCTGCGAAGGGGGAGTACTGGAACGTTCAGTCCTTTCGGAAGTTGAGAGGCTCACGCCCACCCGTGTGCAAAGCACATGGAGTGGTGTGGGCACTTGATTTCGCCACATTTCGCCAAAGGGTGATAAAGGAGATGTGCATGTATGATCGTACCGCTTGATGTTGACTCACAGTGTTAAGTCTACTGTATGCATGGCTGTTGATGCCAGTTGTTGTCTTTGCCCATTATCTGGTAGTTCTGATGATCGTTCCGTAGCTGTGTCGATGCCGGAATGCCTTGTGTCCTCGCTGCCAATTTGTATCCTGTCGCCTGAAAGCAGAGCCGCCATATGTACCCGCTCAAAGCCGTATCCAGCAGGAAGGCTGCTAGCCCCCACCATCCCACTACAGTTGCATGTCCGATGTTCGTACCGCAAATGTGAAGCTAGAGGTATGCCTCTTTACGTCTTTGCGTAGCGGGCCCCACATGCAGATGGGTGCAGAGAAAGTCTTGAGACTTTACGAACATGCCCTGAGCCGAGCGCCTACTGCCATCACCGGAGTGGTTGCTGGATCGTGCGGGCCTCTGGGTGCAATCAGTCGAACATCCTATTCTGGCAAATAGAGAACCGATATGTTCTTTTCACATGATCGACTGCACAATTAAGCCGAGCTCTTGGTCCTGCCGCGTATTGATGATTGTCGTCGCGGGTGTAGTTCGTCGCGCGTTTCCCTGGCATTGCTGGTCTCCTTGCCTCCCTGTTGGTCACGTCATGCTTGTCTAAAGCTCAAAACTTGAACCCATTCGCAGGCTCGGCTTCCTGGGGGATGCCGTTGCCATGGCCCTGGGAGTATCTGGGAGTGACCTTTTCTATCTCTGCCCTCGCAAAGCTATGAGCATGCGCAGCCACAGGCGCAAGAAGTTGAGCATCACCGTGCGGTGTTTTCGGCCTTCGATGCCCAGCGAAGTTGCCTAGATGAAGAGTTGACTCCGTGTGCTGCATGGCCGACGAGCCAAAGTCCACATTGCTGGGGCACTGACATGTCATAACCAAAGTTGTAAAGGGTGCAAGATTTTTCGGTTTGCTTCCGCGTTGGCTTTGCCCTGACTTCCTTGAAGCTTCTTTGCTCGCGTCGTGCAGCACACCAGGACCCGGAGCCAATCTTGGTCTCGAGCCCCAAGTCCATCCCGAAAGCACTTCCGCCATCTGCGCCCCGAGCCCTTTTAGCCCAGGCTTCGCCTTCACACTCTATGCCATCGGCTGGGGAGCCTTCGGCTTGCGGCCCTGGCTGAACTTCTTGAACAGGCGAGCGACGCGACGCGCTTGCGAGCCTTGCCACGCGATGCCGGCGGCGCTCCCGTGCCTGGCCTTGCTTTTCCTTGTCAGGCGCTTCCCGGGGAGAGCGCCGAGCCTTGGCTGCCTTGGCTCCCAATGCGTGTGGTGGGGAAGCTTTGCAGCGTCCGTTCGCAAGCTGCTCTTGCGCGGTCAGGTCCGAGATCTGCAAGAAAGTTGCAGCCCAACAGTTTCTGTGGCATCTTGCCTTCGATTGGGGACCGCTCGGTACTTTGATCTGTTCTGAGACCCTGTGTAGGAATCCGACAGTTTACCTTCCCAGCTTCTATGTGTTCAATGGCTTGCTCCGTTAGGAACTCAGTTCTCTACGTTGTTGTTGGCAACGTCGGACTGTGCCCTTGCTAAAGGTGGTCAAGATGTGGACTCGCTTATCGTCAAAATTCGCACCTGACTCAGGCAGTACATTGCGTTTTCTGCCAATGTCCTTAAGCCCTTCCCCAGCTGAGGTCAAGAGTATGTCAGTTGCCTCGTGTACATCTGGAAGGCAAGTTGCAGTGGTCTTGCCCAACACCGAACATGTTTCGAGCTGGAACACCGACATGTTTCGAGCTAGAATCGCAGTATGTAATGTTGATGGTCCAGAAAGTTAAATTCGTGTTGCGAGCAAGGTGTGGATTCCATTGTCCTTCAGCATCTTTGCCTTTGTCCCGGTGCGACACCAGGCCAGACAGCACATGCAGTGGTACTGACTGAGCAGGAGCATAGCATGCCAGGGGCAGTGACACACGTTTGGCTGGAATCTACTAAGCGGTTAAGGAGTCGGTGGGAAGATTGTCTCCTACGTGCGGTATCCAACTGAGTTCGGTGCTCAGGTGGCGGCCAACTTTGTTGCGAATCTGCTGTGGTCCCTTGTATGAACAGGGCTCATCACTTGCATGTTGAGTGTTTTTCGTTTCGGTGCGGCGTCATGTAGCTGGGCCTCTACTTGTTGACTTTGGGGTGGCCAGCAGCTAGCATGCTTCCGAGTCTTACTGTGCTGTTCCGGGCTTTCTGCAGGAACACTTTGCTGTCGCTCTTCTACAACAGCGCGGACTCGGTGAGCGAATGATTGTGCTTGGCATGCGAGCTTGTGACGGGGACGTGCAAGAGAATGCGTATTCAAGAGCAACAGGAAGGGCCAAAGGCGAAGTAAGTGGAGTTCGTCGGCGGAGAAGCTTCAAATCCTCCAATTTGCTGATCGCCTTTTGGGTGAGCCCGGGCGGCCTCAAGCTGATCTTGTTTACAAGCAGCCCGCTATCGAGTTCATGGCAATGTCGCTCGCAGGCACGCTTTCCTGAAGGCCTCAAACTGCATCGCCATTGTGGGCCGTCTTTGCAGATGTTTGCGGCTTTGCACGGCTGCTGACTGAGAGACTAAGACTTTCTGCTAAAACGGCATGTCCTGCATTGTCGGCAGTATCGGTGCTGGAAAACGATCACTGTGGAGTCTTCTTCTGGCCAGATTGGAAATGTCTTGTGTTAGCGGTTAGAAACTGTCAGATAGACGGTGAAAGATCTGCAGACGACAGCGGGGTCACGCATTCATAACGTTTGTGTGTTCTGAGACTGATGCCAGAACGCAGGGTTTGAAGCAACAGCATGGCTTTCAGTCTTGCTTGTCAGCCTTCTGCTCGAAACGAAACTGTGCACTTCTCCATGTCAGTGTGTGTTGCCCTTCGGTCTTGGAGCATGAGCCCAGTCTTGCTGCTCGCGATGGTCGGGGCTGTCCATGCGCAGCACTGCGACGGCAGTTCAGATGTGAGTGACCTCATGCAGCATTCGGCGTTGGCCAAGGACAAAGAGGTCTCGTGGAACGAATTCATGCAGACTGCGAAGCAGAGCGATCGTGAAAGCTCCATGCCAATATTCATGGCCAAGATGGGCTTGGATGCAGCTTTGACAATGTTGATGCGCCAGGTGCATACGGTAGACAAGGCAGCCGCTATGACATATGGCCAGCTAAATGGCTTGGTTGCGCATTCCTCGCACAAAGAGGCAGGTGCCGTGTTGCACCAGGCAGTGACTCCCCTGAATCACCTTTTTGGTGAAATTTCGAAGCAGCTGGACCAGGGAGGTCTGCAGACCAAGATGGCGCTTGGAATGGTAGGCCTGAGCGATGCTAGCAAGGCCTACGACACCGCAGTGGGTAAGGCAAAAACGGTCCTCGAGTCCTTGAGTCATGCCTGCACTGCGCTGTCTGGCAGTCAGCTGCAGCCAAGCTTGACCAAATGCTCCAAGGAGAGTACGGCATTCCAGCATGCATACCCGAAGATCATGCAGACATTCTTGACGTCTCTTGGTGACGACCTTCTGGACAGCGTTGGAGACAAGCACGAGTTGGAGGGATACATTCATGTAAAGGTGCCTCGTGTGATGAAGATCGTCGAGGCGATGTGCACGAAGGCAGAGAGTTCGAACACATGGTAAACCTGCATGATGTGATGCATCCTTGCTCGACCCTGTTAGGTCCAGACAGTGCTGGCTGGATCGATGAAGGATTTGTCCAAGCTAAAGCAGAGCTGAGTCCCAACGGATGTGAGTTCCTAACCAAAGAGGCGGCCGCGACAGGGCGCGCTTGTCAACAGCAGTGACCAGTCTCCTGCTATACTTGTCGCAACCTTGCGGTTGCAGTTTTAACAACGTTTTAACCCATACTTCAGACTGCTTCGGCCCTCAATGGGGGCAAATGGCGAATCACGCCCGGAAACAGTTTCTCAGACGCCTCGCATCCTGTTGGCTCTACGCTTAAGGCCGGAAGGCAGCACCAAGCTCCTACCCTGTTTGGCTCAGGGGGCGATGTCGAGGTGGCAGTTTACCACAGCATCCGCACTTGAGAGACTGCCAGCGATCACATTCGTGAATGGACATGCGTCCCATGTGGGTGTACACGCTCGGGATCAGCCTGTTCCCCTACACTCCAAAGAGGTCCCCCTTGACAGTCAGTTTTCTGGGCCTGTTTTCTTCTCCAGCCATGACCAAGCGGCAGGAGGCAGAGTCAGAGCAAATCTGCCTCTTGCATGGCTCTGCATTGCTCTCTTTGCACTTTGGCTAGGCATGTGATGAGTTCCATGCTCACATTACAACAACTCGCGAAGTTGCACAACTGGAGCCGCAATTGCCTGTAGTCGTCGGACAGCATATCTGAGCACTCCGCAGTCTCGCTGTCGACGGGAACACACAGATAGATACACAGAGACATCCAGCTTTTCTGTTCAGGCCGGCTTGAATGTCCCCGATTTTCGCCGCAGGCGTTTGGGGACAGTGCTGTGCTTGGACTTCGGAATGCCAATTCAAATCCTTACATGTCTGACCCGATAGGCTGATCATATCCGGGCATTCCACTTTTGATTTGCTCGGAGTCTAATTTGTTTCGGACGGGCGGTTCAGGTTGTACAGCTGCTAGCACTGCGACAGGCAGCGGCCCTTGCTGGCCTTGATTGTCGGCTCTGCAGCGGCTGCCTGGACCTTGCTGTGAGAGGCGAAGCTTTTGGGGAAACTGTGCCCCGTCGTCAGGCCTTGGCACCTGCTTGGGTCGCCCCGAGCTCGCGCAGCCTAGGGGTTTCTCAAGGCCAGCAGAGCAATAACCGAAGTCGAGAATGCAGCTGAATGCAGCAGGTCCCGAGCACCATGTGGCTGCGGCTCCAGTTGAAGATTTCCAGGATGGCAGGCAGCGGCCCGGGGTGCGCCCGGTGTGCTGGGTGGTGCAACTCCAGCACCTGCGAGAAAGGCCATCTCTGGCGTCACGCCGGTCCTGGGGCCTTCTGGTGTTGGGGGCCGCTTGGGGTGCAGGCCGGGGCCGACAGTCGGTGGCCTTTCTGGGCTTTCCTTGGCTGCCGGTCAGGTTTGGCTTCAGCTCAAGCCCTGGTGAAGGGGAGCACTCCTCCAAAGGGCTATGGCCTAGGAAAGGGCATCTTCGAGGCCTGCGAGCGGGACCGGTGTTGTTGCCGCAGAAACTGAGTGTGAGTGTTCCAGGCTGCCGACTGCAAATCTTTGGTGGAATGCGAAGAGCTGGGCGCGAAGAAGGAAGAGGTCTGGTTGAATTGAATTTTGTAGGCTCCCACTGACTTGCAGAACTGAATGGAAGTCTATAGCTCGAGACATCTTGAGATCCTCTTGAGACTGAGATGCCGGGAGCTTGCTGAAGTCCCGCTAAACTGAGCGGTGCCAGGAGAAGTACGGAACGAAGATGGCCAGCTGCTCATGTTCCAAGATGTGCGCTCGATGTGTAGCTTCGTTCGAGCAGGAGAAGACTTTCAAAGTCACAGCCAGTGGAGCCCGATACAAGGACCGGTTTCGCCCATGTCTTCTCTGTCTCCTTTTCGTTTCGAGCTTCCCGCCAAAGGCGTCCTACATCGCGTAAACAGGACATGAAGGTGGGCAACGCAGCCGACGGTGTGGCGAAGGTCGGCGATGACCTGAAGCTGAGGCATGAAGAACTGCCGTGTAGCCGTAAACGAGGAGTGATCCGGCGCTGGCAAGGTATCGGGTGATGCGTGCTGGCAAGCGTTCCTACGACGGTGTGTCTGGTGAGGCCCCGCCATAAGAATGGCCGAAGTCTTCTCGGCTAGGCTGTGCAAGCTGTTGCACTTGCTTGAATGAGGCCACAACGCTGTTTTCGCTGGGATATGGAGAAGGTGATGACGAAAAGAAGGCTCATGTTGACAGAGGGCCTGTGGCTGTCACACTCTTGACATCTCTTGACAATGTCCTGCGTGGGCCTGGCCTCGTGCAGTTGTTCGCTGACTGCTCTTTTGGAAAGGACGCGACTCTCAATGCACCGCTGGGAACGGGCCGATTCGTCAAGGCCGGGTCAGCATGCTCAAAAAATGTCGAGACCCACATAAAACTGAGCATCTTGGCAGAGACAGGCCATTGATGAAGGCTTGGTTGGCATGTCTGTGGGCGGCATTCGACGAGTCCAGGCACACCCGAGTGCAGTTTTGTTCGGCAGACTGCCCAATCTGTACCGTATTGCAGTTGCTATCACACCCGAACCCCATCTCACCCTTCAGTTCCTGTCGGCTTTTACTATCCAATGATCCCGTGAATTTGCGCAGCACCCATGCCGCAAGAGTGTCGCACCATGTTCATCGTTGCTCTCCGACATGTCTCTGCATGCTCTGCTATCTCACTGCCGCAGAATTCGATTGCAGGTCCGACCTGACTATGGACTTGGCTGGAAGAAGCCCGGAAAGTGTGCCGAGGCAATTGGAGCAGGCCTGTTGCAGCACCAATTTCCGGATCGTCAAACCTCTCACATTCATCAATTGTAATGGAACAACAACATCTAACTTCGGCATACTGGGGTATTTCTTGCAGCCACGTACGGTCATGCCTCTGTCTTCAGGCCCGGTGTCCCCAACCAAGAGCTAAGTGCTCGCTGAAGGTTTGTCGACCGGAGGATTTCAATACAGAAGAAGTTTCACTCCGATGCTAGCAGTCCTTCCAAAAGCGATGCTCCAATCGTTCAGAGTCCCGGACGCGTTGTGACCGGGGTTGCGTTTCACATGCCCTGCTTGAAATCTTAGCAACGTAGCACCCAAGCCCTTCTCGTCAGTTGGTGCCATTGCCGGCCTGCCCGCTGCTGGAGCGGAGAAGGAGTCCGCATGTGCGGAACCCAGGCATCGAACCAAAAGCGTCAAGCTTGCCACGCGGGGCGTCGGTGCACGGATTGTTCGTGGCAAGGGCGAGATGCTTTGCCCTTTGCATTTGGGATGGAGCTGCCAAGGCCTGGACACTTCGCTGCTGCCCCAGCCCGAGGACCTTCCCCTGCTACAGGTAGTGTACCTGCGCAGAAGTGCTCAGAGTTGTGTCCCGTTTCTAGTCTGGGAGGACTGGAACGCCAAGCGTCGCTTTGAGCGACGTTTCGACGAGTCCTTGATCGTGGAGATGGAGTCGGGGCCCCAAAGCTGGAAGAGCAGATTTGTTTCGCAGGAGTTTTCGTACTTTGACGAGGCTCGTTGGACTCGGCAAGTGAGGTGCGCTCTCAGAGAAGAAAAAGATTGGGAACAGTCCGTACCGTAGCAGAATTTGATCGATAACATATTTCACGAGGTCTTCGTTTGCCCATATTCCATTACACGAGGATGCTCTCCGGCGTAAGGGTATGGGAAGTGTATGGAATGGGACATGTGTGGTATCGTTCTTCACATGCCTCATGGGCATGGGAAACGATAGCCGCAAACACTGGTGTGATGTCAGCGCAAGCTACGTTAGTGCGTAACACGCAGTTGCCGGGCTCTGGAGTAGGCTGTCTGAAGCCGCTCCGCCTACCATGTCTACTTTCAGGATAGTGCAGGGTAGTCAAAGAGCCTGGAAATGTCTTCCTATTTCATTTGGGTGCAAGGCCGAGAGCAAAACCGCACAGACAGGCACTCAAATGCACTAGGAAACCTGAATCAAACATAATCAAACACAGCTTATGCACAGTCCAGAATCGCTTGCAAAGATCAACGTGGGGACTTGGCTGAAGTGGATTCGGGACCACGGCACACGTTGGCATAGCTGCGGACCGGCATTTTTCGCTGCTTGAGCTGACGTGGTGGTGGACGCTTGGATCAGGTGGCAAGGTGGCCCTCCACAGCTCACTGCTCGAGCTCCCTCTCGACACCATCGCCTGTGCATGAGGTCCTGCAGGACGAGCGATGGCTCGACGGACCGGCTTCCAGCCGCCTTTCAGCGCGGCCTTGGGTCACATACGTGCGACGTGCTTGTGCACTGGGACCGCGCATGTAGCTGTTGCAAAAGGCCATGGGACGATGCCTCTCAGCACTTAATTTTTGGGCCTTGCGGACGCACCTTGGGTCACATTTGTTAGGGACAAGGCATGTCAATTCTTAAAAAGCCACCGTGAGATAACCAGACTTGTACAGAATCCTCATGTCTGGAATCATACGGTGTGCCAGTTTACCTGTCCACGCGCCGCCCGGCGTATGACCGACTGAAGCGGACGCACCGCTGCCACTCCAACCGGCACGAGCGGCACGGCGCGCCCTGCGCTTTGGTGGCTCGGTCTGCACGCAGCCGATATCGACTTTGCTGCTCCTACTGGGCTTCGTGTATGGACACCCTGCTGGCCATCCACGCACACGTGCCCTCGGCTGCGGGACGGACGCTTGCTCTGAGCGAAGAAAGAGCCGCATGCTCGCCCTCGCTCCTGCAGCCACACCGGGCTACGCAGCGCCAGACTGGAACGAGGCCATGTGCACTGTGCCCCGCCTGCATTCTCGACGGGACGAGCCTGCCGATTTCCTTCGCGGCTGGCGCGCTCGAGACGCACTTGCTAACTTGTCCCCTGCGTCCCGTGCCGTGCTGCTCTCGCAAGCTGGACCGCACTCTGCCGGAGCACTTGTTGTCATTCCCGCCTCGCACTTCCGTGTCCTGCTGCTGCAGCGCCTGCACCTGCGCCTTCCTCTCGGCCCGCGCAGTTGCTCCTGCCCCGGTGCGCTACATGCGTACGTAAACCACCACATCCTGCGTGCTAGCCTCCCGAGCCCTGCCCTTCGAACGCGCAATTGCTTGCG